ACATAATAGCATCCAAGAGTTATTCTGTAAATAAATTTACTTTTGTAATTTTTGCCCATAATAGATAATTGTTTCCATCCACAATCAATGGTGGAAATAAAAGAGCTTGAAAATAATGGGATGCACTGGTAATAGTTGGAACCATAGTAGAAGTAGTTGAAGATGTTGAAGCACTCATTATAAATAAATCTGTCAAGAAAATAGAAAATCAAGTAGAAAAGTTGAATAAAACATACCTTAAAATATAAAATCAAATAAAATGATAAACTTGAACTTAAAAAAAAACAAAAATATATAATTTTAATTTTAATTTAATTTTTTAAAGGAGATTGTGGATTAAGGCAAAAGAACAGCAATAAGATGGCGGCAGCAAGCAGCAGTAGGGTGGCAACAGTAAGGCGGCATGGTAGCAGCGGCGGACAGTAGCGACGAGCAACGGCGAGCGATAGTGGCATTAAAGCAACGACGGTGGCGGGCGACAGCATCAGCAGCAATAAGGTGGCAGCAGTGGCAACGGTGGGTTTAGCGACAGCTCGGTGACAATCGCAAGGTGCAACAGGGAGCAGGGAGCAAGCTGGGGTGGAGTTATACTGGATCAATTATTCTAAACAAGCAAGCAGAGAGTTGGATAGGATCAAGTGCTCTAAGTAAGCAGCTAATGTGTGAGACACCATAAAAAAAAACAAGATCATGAGGCACACACTGAGCAAGGATAGCAACATGTTTGAAGAGTCAAAGACTAGAGCAAAAAAATTGTGATAGTGTGTAAAAGAGAGTCGTGCTGATAACGTGTTGTCAAGAAAAGAACTCGATGAAAAAATAATTCAGACAAGTGAGCCTTCACTCAAAGAGAAGTAACAAAATATATATAAACAAGTATATATATTGAAAGAGAAACTGGAATGGCTATTGCCAAAAGATAAGAAAACTAGAGACCCTTGAAACTAGATTAGAAGCAAGAAAGGAATTGATAAGAGTGAAGAAGCCTTCACTCTTGTCTCTATATATACTATCTAACTAAGGGCTACGTGGCAACGTTCTATAGGACCTCCAATATGTGTTGACTTTGTAGGACACATGCCTTGACTTACAAGGCAAGTTTTTCTACGTGTGGGCCACATAGTTAGCTTGATCTTCAAGCTAACAACATGTGTGGCACATGGCCAACTTATTGACCACGTTTCTAATCCAAAAAGTCAATTAAAGACACCTATGAAGTCAAAGCAGCATCTAAAAAGTTTCTAAGAAGCTTCCATATTAAATATTATAGAATTAACTTACTTTTATCTACTTTTACTTACTTCTACCTATTTTTATATGTAATTATTAGCTTATATGATTATGGCCGTGACATAACCCCCCCTTCTAGGCACGAGTTCCACGAGGAGCAATCATCATATGTTGAAGAAATCTATGATGCGACAAATTGTATTCGCCACATACTCTGATTATTGTTCTCTTCGAAGATGATTGATAGGGCCTCTGAACCATCGGTAGTGTCGGATACCAGGGCGGGAAGACCACCCAGTTATTTGATCATTGTTGAGGCCTTCGTAACTCCCTTCAAATAGAATATTTGGAACACCATCAAGAGTTGTTCCTACCTCTAACACAATCACCAAACATCGAGAGTCCCTTCCCAAATCGTAATACCAAACGCGTTGTATCTCACCATCTATTCGAAGAAGAACATGTCGTTCTTGAAGATCTTCATCTCGATTGCGTCGTCTTAAAGGTTGTGACAATCGTAATGTTTTGTCCGGCAGGTCAGCAAATGAAGGCTCTTGAGTTGAATCCATTGGTTGTTGGTTTTCCATCTCCTATGCGACACTACTACAATGAAGCTACGAACAAGAATTGAAAGTAGAATGTTATCTTGCCTAGATGTTGTTTCTTTTATAAAGAAGGTTTTCATCTTGATTTTGATAGATGTCGTCGATGAAAAACCTCCACCGCCTTTGCTGCATTTGCAAGATTCTTTATTGGCTCCCATGTGCATTCACTAATACCATATCTGCACCAATGGACAAGATATTCTAATTTATTTCGACGCCGCCTTGAATCTAAGACTTCTTCTACTTCAAACTCTTCATTATTGTCCACTTCTATAGGAAGAGGTGGAGCTTGTCGTCTTCTTGGTATGTTCACTGTCTTGTATGGTTCAAAAAGAGACACGTGGAATACTGGATGGATTTTCATTGACTCCAGTAGATGTAAACGATATGTAACTGGATTGATTTGTACAGAAATAGAAAATGGTCTCAGCCTTCGATAGTCCAACTTGTCACAAGGAGGAGTGGTCTTGATATTGTGGCAAAGTAGCCATACCTTATCACCTAAGACGAATGATGGTTGTTCCTTTGGATAGACATCCGCATTGGCCTTTTGTTGTTCTTCAGCCTCTTTTAACTGTGCCTTCATCGTTGCATGTAGCTCTGATAAATGAATTGCCAAATCTTTCGCAGCAGGATTATCAACTTTTGAAAAGTCAAAAGTATCAAGTCGTGGATGATAACCATAATTAGCAAAGAAAGGTGTTTATTTTATAGAAGAGTGTACCGTGTTATTGTAAGCAAACTTTACCAATGGCAAAAGAGTTGTCCAATCATCTTGTTGGTAATTAATGGTACATCTTAAATATTGCTCCAAAACTTGATTAACACGCTCCGTTTGTCCATCAGTTTGAGGATGGAATGCCGAAGATAGTTTTATATCCACTTTAAGAATCTTGAAAAGAGTCCGCCAAAATCTTGATACAAATTGAGTTCCCCTATCTGATATAATATCCTTGGGTAATACATGACAGCGATAGATATTGTCAAGAAAGAGCTTAGCTGTTTCTTCACCCGTGATAGGTTTTGTACATAGTACAAAATGTGCCATCTTGGTAAAACGATCTACTATCACGAATATAGAGTCATAAGAACCTGAGATTGGAAGATCCGTGATGAAGTCCATAGAAACAGAAGACCGTGGTTGTTCTGGAATGGATAATGGCTGAAGAAGTCCAAAAGGTCGATGACGAGGAGTTTTTGATCTTGAGCAAACATCACATGATTGTACAAAATCTTTGACTGCCTTCCACATTTGACGCCACCAAAAATCCTTAGATATCAGCTCCAAAGTCTTATTATATCCGAAATGTCCTGCTGCTGGGAAGTCCTGACAAGTTTGAAGAATACGTAAACGTGCTTCTCCTTCTAGAACATATAGGCGTCCTTCGAAATAGAGTAGGTTGTTCTTGAATTCAAATTTAAATGGATCATGAGATTTAGAAGAATTGTTCTTGATATCATGAACAAGAGGGTCTGAAGACATACTTACAGGACCTACTCAAGAAAAGTTAAATCAACAGTCAATAGTGATTTTATTGCTCGAAGATGAAATTATTCCGGCTTCAAGAGAATCGTTCTTTGTGGCTCAAAAGCTGCATCTCCTTCTTTTGGTGCAAGATAAGAACGTCTAGACAAGGCATCGGATAAACCTTGTTGTTTTCCTGGCCGATAAGTGATGATGAACTCGAATCTTGATAAAGACATGCTCCAACGAGCTTGGCGACGATTTAATACTCATGCTGACATAAAATATTCAAGGTTCTTGTGATCCGTATACACGGTGTCGTGTTGTGGTTCGGTTACTATATGAAAATAATGTAATTATCTACTTCATATGTAATTTATTAAATAATATGGTAAGAGCCATATTATTAGATTTTAGTTGATTATAGAATATAATTTGGTTATTATCTTGAGAAGAGGTTGTTTAAAAAGGTTACTATAGAATTTTTATAACTTTGATTTCTTTTTCATAGTGGCTTTTAAGATTGGTTTAGTTCATAGTGACTTCTAAATAATTAGAATCACCTTTGTTAGATATTGGTGACCTTTGAAAACTTCTTTTGGATTTTTTATCTGGTGTTAAAAAGACTCATTGTAAAATTCTTATAAGAAAAGGGATGAAGAAAGGGGTTTTGGTAGCAAAAGGATTAATTAGGGCACCAATTTGGATGAATGGAGATAAATAATAAAAATCTCTATTCCTATTGGTCAAAAATCATGACCAATGGGCTTTGAGGAGGCTGCCCGAGGCCATATTAGGGATTAGGGTTAGTTTCTCGCGGCCATTCGAGTTTTTGAGGCTAGAGTCAGAAGGTTTAGGTTTTTGGATTTGGTTTTGGTGCAAAATTTGTGTCATTTGGGATTTATATGAAGAAGTTATAGGCGCTCAAAGTTAAGGTGTAAGTTTTCGACGTACTGTCACTCTTTTGAGCATACCGCACGCGTACAGACAGCAAACGAGGATTGGCGACCGGATTTGAAGAGAGCACTTTTTCGGCTACAGTTTGTGCATACTGTTTATCGAATTCCAAGCTTTTATGAAGGAGATATTGGCAGTTGAAGTCAGCGCTTGATATCTAAGGGTAGTAAGTAGCCCGAATTACTTGTGCTTGTGATTTGAGCTATATCTTAGACAATTTGATGAGGTTTTAGCTCAAAATTTCCAAGATTGTGTGTAACCTTGTTAGAAAGCTTTCTTTTGTAAGTTTTGTGTGATTTGGAGCTTGGGTTTAGGAGATATAAGGAAAATAGTTTTCGGGTGCTTGTAAGTTAGGGTTTTGTGCACCTGCTAGGGTTTTTAAGATGCCGAACGATCGGTGATAGATGTACGGTTCAATTTTTTTGTGGTACAAGTTATGTATAGCATCTAGCTTAGGTAGAAATGTGAAACAAAGTGAACGGTTGGATCAACATATATGAATTTCCAAAGTCTGATGTAAAAAAGTCTTTGGCGGGAAGAAATATATTTTGAGTTTTTATACAAAACAAAGAGTTTTTTTTTTGGGAGCTAAGGCATTATATACAAAGGAAACCTAAACTCTCTACAGCTAGATACCCGGTGTATTCCCAGATTGAAAAACACATCACACGATAGAACTGGTGAACCCGACGTGAAATTTTTTGGGGTAGAGAGTTTTGAAGAAATATTTTTGGCTTTCTATTATGGAAGGGGGGCAAGGAAGTGGTGGTAGGAATTACATTGGGGATTCTCTATTGCAATTGGATCCTGCTACAAGTCAAATGTTTCAAGCATTTGCACTTTTTATGCAACAGCAGCATGCAGTGGAATGCAAGGAGGCAATGGCTACGAAAGCCTTGCAATCTGTTGTTGGAATTTTGGACCAATTTGATGGAAGAAATATTTCCAAGTATCTTAAGTATTACTCTCGGGAGATGGAGCTCAATAAGGTGCCAGAAAAAGATATGATCCTTATATTTGAGCTTGCAGTTGTACCAGAGCTTTGTGACCATATAAAGGGTATTATTAAAACTCATGGAGACAGATGGGAAGATTTTATCCTACAGCTAAAAGAAGAGTATTCTTTGGAGGATGCAGAAAGGGTGACAAGGAAATCATTTATGGAATGGGTTAATAAATCCAACAAAGGGTTGATTGCAACAGAGTTACTTTGAGAATTTGAGAGACAATTTCTTCAATTATCTCGAGTGGAAAAGCTTACACTTGAAAATGATAAGGTGGAGTTATTTCTTCAATCAGCTGGAAATGATTTACAGAGAGAATTGGAATTATTATTGGAGGATAATACAGAGGACAATGAACTTACTACTGATTGGAAGAAAGTCTCTGAAGCTGTGGGCATACTTGCTAAAAGACAGTATCGGAGGGGTAAGGTGGTAGTAAGGCAAGAGACTAGACCTCCACCAACTACAATATCTCGTAAGTAACAGCCAGAACTTGCTATTCTAGTAAATACTATTCCAATTCCTATGTCTACAGTTGCACCACAGAAAGATGCAATTGATGAGTTGGTAAAAGGAATGAAAGACTTACAAATCAAACTAGCAAAGCTAGAGGAGAAAGAAGGATTATCTGAGAACAAATCTATATCAAAGCCAGGGTATATACAACGATGTATTTGGTGTAATAGTATAGAGCATCCTCGAAAGGAGTGTGGAGATTTTGCCAATATTTTACAACAAGGAGTAATTTTGTGGAAAGATGGAAAAATTGCGTTGCGAGATATAGGTGAGTTTCTCAAAACCAATTTTGGAAAGGGTGGGATGAAGAAGGTTTTGGAAGAGCATATATCTCAACAGGCTATGGCATCAAGAGAAGCTATTATTTATGGCATTGAGGCTATAAGGGAGAAAGAGGATGTTTTTGATAAGTATATAAATACAAGGGATCTATGGAATCATGCTATTATCAGCATGAATAAAGGAAAAATAACAAGGCAGGAATTACTTAATACAGCTACAATAATTAGAAATGCTACAAGATGGGATGACCCTGTAGATACTATGTCCGTACATGCTTATTTGGCAAAGTCTCAACATGAAGCCTTAATGGAGGTGAAAAGGGGAAGAAATGAAAGAAAAGAAAATTTTGAAGAGCCAGTAAACAAGAGGAGATTTCAAAGGCATGTTGAAACAACTTAAAATAAAGAAATGCCTATACCACATGCTAATAGACCATCCAAGGTTGGGCCATCAATTTTGCATCCTGAAAATGCTTCACTGCCAAAAGAAAAATGGGAAGAAAGAATGGAGGTTGATAAAGACAAATGGAAGAGTAAGCATATTACTTATAAACTTCAATCTGATATTGAGGCAGCCACAGATTTGAAAGGAGTCTTGGAAAAAAGAGTATTGAATGCCAAAATTGAATTTACTCTACGAGAAATTTTAGGCATTGCAAAGAGAGAGTTTGATGAAGTCATCATAGACACTATTAAGCGAAAGAGGTAGTTGACAGGAGAATCTGCTGTATCTAATGCTTTGGATACAATCTTGACTGAAGAAGAGGAGCATGAATTGGCAAAATGTTGTATCAATAAAAAGGGATAATTTGATTTGGATGAATACAAGGATGATGACAAGGGCCCTAGACACTATACCAAGGGACATTGGGCAAGAGCCACCACAGAGACTTTAGTAAAAATGGAAGACTTGGAAGAACTAGTAATTGCTCTCATTGACCATGGATCTGAAATTAATATTATGTCAAAAGAGGTCTATAAACATGGAAGGTGGCCCATTGATATTAACCATGGATGGGTGATTCGGACAGCAAATAATACACGAGGAGATCTTTATGGTGCTTGCCCTAATGTGAAGGTAAAGGTTCGAAATGTGACCACAAAACAAATTTTTTTTGTTCAAGACACTACTTCATATCCGGTGATTCTTGGTCAACCATATATTACAGCTGTGAGGATGGAGACCAAAGTTTTGGATGATGGATCAGCATGTGCCCATATTAGAAGTCAAGTTGAAAAAAAGGGAGTGCAATTTCTAACAGTACCTGCAAACCATGAGCGCAATCGGAATTATTTACGAAGTGAATTACTACCAAGGGTTAGTGAAGAGTTTACGGATTTTTGTAGGGTACCACTATAGAGCGGGAATGTAGTGGTACATCAAAGAAGGTACTCTCGCATGAAAAAGAAAGTACCTTTTGTACAGGTGTTATAGAATTATCTAAGAATGGATTTGCTATCTATACACAACTTGATGATCTACCAAAGTGGGAGAAAAAAGTTGTGCAAAAATCTGAAAAAGACCTAAAAAGAGTGGGTGTGCTTGATGGAGATGATAAGATAATAGGTGTATATATGGAGACTGGTTTAGAAAATTTTATGGAAGAGCTTTTAGAGGTTGAACAAGGAAATGAAGATCAAGTGATGCAAGTACATTCAAGAGAGCTCTACTCAGCTATACAAGCATTTCAAGATTATAAAGTCGAAGTTGAAACTAAGTACAAGATTGTGGAGAGAAAAATAAAACCAGTAGCTATACCATTACCTAGTGATTCCAATCATCAAGTTCAACAAGCTTTGAAGGAGAAGGTCTTATGGGATCCTAAACAAATTGGCCATAAGTTTACTAAGAACACACTTAATGAGCTAAAAATAGGATCTACAAATTTCCTATTGCTTGTTGAAGAAATGGAATTTAGAAAAATGTTAAGTATGCATGGAAAGGCCTTTGCTTTTGAACCTTCAGAAATTGGATGTGTTGATCCAAGTGTTGTGGCACCAATGATTATATTTACAGTTCCACATGTTTTTTGGGATTTAAGACCAATTTCAGTGCCTAAAGCACATCTACCTAAACTTATGAAGCTTTTAAAATAAAAGATACAAATGAAGATCCTCGAGCCATCATTTGCACCATATTCCAGTCGTTGGTTTACAGTACCAAAGAAAAATGGAACACTACGGTTTATTCAAGATATGCAACCAGTAAATCAAGTAACTATTAGAAATACTGGAGTTGGACCAATTGTTGGAGAATTTGCTGAGGTATTTGCTGGTAGAGCTATTTACTCTGTTCGAGATCTTTATTCTAGATATGATCAATTTCAACTAGCTGAAGGAAGCAAAGATGTTACTACTATGAGGACACCTTTAGGGTTGGTTAAGATGTGTACATTGACACAAGGAGCAACAAACTCAGTAGCTCATATGATGAATGGGATGAATAAGGTTCTTCGTGATTTCATTCTAAAAAAGACTATGCCCTTCTTAGATGATATTCCAATAAAAGGGTGTGTAGAAGAAGAAAAAGATGAAACAATAGATCAGAAGGGGTGCCGTAAATTTGTATCTAATCATATTTTAGACTGTGACAAAATTTTATCTCGACTGGAGGAGGTTCACTTGACACTGTCAAGAGCTAAATCTACTTTTGGAGTTCGAGAAGTTGTTATTGTAGGGCATTTATGTGGATGGTTTGGTCGCAAACCTAATCCTAATAAGGTGGATGCCATACAACGAATGAAGGATATTTGTAGCTCACAAACAGAGGTACGTAGGATTTTAGGAGCTTGCATATTTTATTAAGTATGGATTCCTCATTATGCACATGTAGCTAATCCTCTTTATAGTTTGCTACGAAAAGGGAAGAGATTTAAATGGGAGAAAAAACATACAAAAATAATTTAAAAGCTAAAGCAATTATTATCTTCTCCACATGTATTGCGAAGGATAAGTTATGAGGATGGCAAATCGGTGATACTTACAGTTGATACTAGTCCAATAGCTGTTGGTTGGGCTTTACGACAAAATGATGAAGAAGGGAACACGTTTGCTATTAGATTTGGAGCTAAAGTATTAAGTGAACGGTTGGATCAACATATATGAATTTCCAAAGTCTGATGTAAAAAAGTCTTTGGCGGGAAGAAATATATTTTGAAGAATTTTAATATATTTTGAGTTTTTATACAAAACAAAGAGTTTTTTTTTTTGGGAGCTAAGGCATTATATACAAAGGAAACCTAAACTCTCTACAGCTAGATACCCGGTGTATTTCCAAATTGAAAAACACATCACATGACAATGGTAACTGGACTAGAAGCGCCTTCTAAGTAATGACGCCATTCTTGAAAAGAATCCACAATTGCAAGAAGTTCTTTGTCGTGGATCTCATAATTGATTTCTACTGTTGAGAATTTTTTTGAATGAAAGGCTTCTGGATGAAGTTTGTCATCTGTTCCCATTTGTGATAAAATTGCACCTAGAGCAAAGTTTGATGCATCTGTTTCCATAAAGAATGCTTTGGAAAAATCAACACGATACAAGATTGGTACAGAAACAAACGCTGTCTTCAAAGATTCAAAAGCAACTTCCGCTTCTTGATTCCATTGAAGTTTGTCTTTACAAGTTAAAGTGTAAGTGGAGCTGCAACTTAAGAGAAGTCTTTGATGAAGATCCGATAGTAGTTGGCAAATCCCAAAAAAAATTGGACATCTCTTACCGTTTTTGGGATCTTCCAGTCTATAATAGTTTGAACTTTCTTAGGATCCATCATAAGTCCATCATTTAAAATGATGTAATCTAAGAAATCGACTTGAGTAGTGTGGAATATACACTTTTTTATCTTGGCATAGAGTCTTGCATCTCTTAATTTTTGTAACACACGACGAACTTGAAGTTCATGTTCTTTTGGATTCTTAGAATAGATCAAGATGTCGTCTAGATAACATACCACAAAACCGTCCAAAAACTCTCAAAAAACATCATTCATTAGATGTTAAAAAGCTGCTGGTGCATTTGTAAGTCCAAAAGGCATGACGTTGTATTCAAAATGTCCATACCTAGTTCGAAACGCAGCCTTCCATTCATCTCCTTCTTTGATGCGTACTAGATTGTATGCTCCCCGAAGATCTATTTTTGTATAGATCTTAGCTTGATTCAGTTGATCAAGAAGTCCGGATATTAAAAGTAGTGGATACATGTTCTGGATGGTAATCTTGTTGAGTCCTTGATAATCAACACACATCCGCAATGATCCATCTTTTTTTTTTCACAAATAGAATTGGAGCTCCTGCTGGAGATTTAGAATGGCGTATGAAATTTTTGGCTAGATTTTCTTCAATATACTCCTTGAGTTCAGTCAACTCATTTTGTGATAAACTATAGATTGGTCCGAATGGCGGTTGTGCTCCTTCTTGAAGGTTAATTGAGCAATCATAGGGACGATGTTCCGGGAGTGTATCCGCATTCTTTTTTTCAAATACATCTTAAAATTCTTGATATTGGCTTGGAATGCCACTTGAAGTCTTTTCACCAGTAGGAACAAGTGTGGCATAAATAATATATGGTAATTCTTTCATAGCAGCATGTAAGAAAGCTTTTGCACCTATAAATATGGTTTTAATTAAAGTGGAC